AATTTCTGAAATTCAATTCTTTTTCGTATAACCTGATATTAGTCTGGCCGACCGAGTGCTATCTTGGTAACTAATTTAAATAATATCCCGTGATGACATTAACCATTCGAAGCATGTAATCCTCCCGCCCACAGTCAGCCATCCCTTGGTGATGAACTGATGCTTGGTTCTCAAAGAACCAAATCAACACTTCAATAGTATCCGCATTCGAAATCTCAGCTGCGCCTGCCAGTAGTTAAAAATTGTGACTCATTCCACCGAGGATAGATAATTACAGCAGCCCACCTTCTACATCTTTATTTTTCTCTTGCATCACAAACGCCCAACAAATTTGAGGGAACGTTAACTATGCTGCGATACATATACTACTTTGTACATCCTTTGCTTTGTACATTCTTCTTAGTCCAGATCAGGTAGTGTCTGGCCATTTATATGTATCTCCGACAAGATTCGATCATTTCGTTTGGTATAGTACGACTTAGGATTTGTAACTAAGTACAACTTAGTGTCATTCGTCGCACATTTTATCGTAGCATACAGGATAAAAATCTCCATTAAATCTAAGAAAAAAATTGATCCTAGCCTAAATATTTATTTCAGGCAAAATAGTGTAGGCATGAATGACATTACTCGAAGGTATGAGGTGAATCGGTTCAAAACTACATATCTGAACTAGGTTTAGACGAGCAAGTAAGAAATCGTGATAGTGAAGGAGTGATACGAGGATATAGGATGAATGAATGCAGCTGGACGGGAGAGATACCACAGCTGGCTAGCAGACAATTGGTCAAGCGACCGACTTCATATGTCTCCTCGACGAGTTGTAGTGTGCTACTAAGAATGACAAGGTCCATTGATGATGCCGACTACGATGCTGGCTAAAAGTCTTGGAATATACAAAGTAATTGGTCCGATGCTACTATTGACTGCGGACAAAGTGCGTTCATCTAGGTCCTTATGCCAATATGATTCAATTGCGATAACAAGGTCAAACAATTTCTATAAATGGTGTCAGCTTAAGCGCTAAGAACTAATGAGTTATAGCCTATCAAGAAAGGGCTATACGTTGCTACACTGAGGCGTTAAGGGTGAATAAGTGTAAACGTAAACCTATAGGGCACCATAAAAGCTAAGCCGAATCAAGGACTTAGAAACGGGAGCAATTGCTTCTAAGGTTTATACCTTCCAAAAAGATAGAAGGCTGTGGATTCGAACTTACTTGTCGAATAGAGCTGTCAGTTGAAGGCGAGTAAAACGCATTTTGAAGCGAAAAGGGAGACCGGGGATTAACTGAAGGCGATAGATACGTCGAGGCAAAGCACTCATCCCTTCACCACCTATAAAACCACTCGGTCCACCCATACCACTACAATCACTGCTGATACTTCTCGCTGCAAAAGACGGCGGGCCTGGCTCAACAGTGATCTGATCTGAGCTAGTCAGTAATGGCGGTGGAAAGAGTCGAAGCGAGCCAGTAACATTGGAAGCCATCGATGAACGATTTAATATTGATGATGTTGATAGTATCGGCGCTGGAGCCCGAACTGCAGATGCCACTAGTGGTGTGGATAAAGCTGAGGACGGTTCTTTCACTGTCATGGTAATAGAATCAATGGCTGGTCTACCAAGAGCATAAACAAGTGGTGAAATCGTTTGTTCATCAGGTGTGTTATTTGCATTAGCAGACAAGGCAAGAGAAAGCAGACGAGAAGGGGATTGGATGGAGGTGGCGATGTCTGTTGGTTGGGAATGTGGAAGAAAGAGAGATGGAATGGTACGATGTGGCCAAACAGAAGATTTGGAAGAGGACAGTTGGGAGCTGGAAGAGGAAGACGAAGAGGATCGAGTGCGAGTAGATATGACCCTAGGGATACGGTTGGATTCGGACTGATTCTGGTTCTGCTGAGCACTAGAGGCAAGATCCCTTGTCAATACACGCATAACAACATCTTGCAAGAGTCGGGCAGGCAAAGAAGGCATCTGAGAAGTGACAGTACTTGCTGAGGTGTTTGTAGCTGTCTGGACTACGCTGACCCCAAGCTCTTCAGTGCAAGTCAAAGGTTGATAAGGGGTCCCAGTGAAACCAATTGATGATGACGGAGACAAAGTCGTTGGAGGCAGTTGACTGCCGCTATATGAGACAGTGGAAATAGTGGCGAGATCAGGGCTAATAGACAAAGGCGAAAGTCCGAAAGATTGTAAGGTCGTAGGATGACTGTCTGAAATAAAATGAAAGCAAGTGAGGGAGAATAGATGAAATAGTGAAATGGGCAATATAAAGGATAAAGCAATAAACGTTTAGCCAGAGAAGAAGAAAACCATGATAAAATAAGTAAAGTTTTAGCTTGCTTCTGGTCAGAATTAGACGAAATTTAGTGGCCTATGTCTAAACTACCAGTAATGAGAAAATGCCTGACCTTCCTTGAAATTCACATCTGCCCTGTGACCCAAGGGCACTCGTGGCAATGTGACGTAGTGGTTAACGTAACGAGACAATACACTGCATTGTCATGGTTCGAGTCCCCGTGGGGATTTTGATAAGACTTGGGCGAGGTCGAAACTGCAGGCCACCCTGGATGAAAGCATCTTTTGGGTAAGCAAGGTTATGTGAAATTCAGTGGAAACGTCATCTCTACTCATATAATTGTGGGAAAATTAAATTACCACTTCCTCATCACCTTAAAAAAAATATGGCAAACACAGCCAAATATAAATAGTTAAGCCCTCGAAAACAACCCAGACTCCCTTTACTTATCAAGGAAAATCGTCAGACAAATGTGTAATGGTGGCTAATTGAAGTGTAAATGTAGTCACAATTAGATGGGCACAATATAAGAAACATAGATAAACCCAAAAGAAAGACTTACTTCGTACATGATCCAAAGTCAAATCCACAGACCTAATTGTCCTGTCCGTTTCTTGAGCACCACCAGATGTCGTACTCCTTGAATGTGTAGTAACAGCAGTTGCAACAGCTGCCATCTGTTGGCCCAAGTGACCAAGAGTGCGCCTCAGACCCATATGGCGACCTATCAATCCGCTGGGCCCGTTTAGCCCAGTGGGGCAGATGAAGCCACTGCGCCAGCCTAACCACCGAGCTGAGCTAGAAGGAACCGAGCCGATGATCGTGGATACAAGAGTAGAAGCTGCTCGCCGCGCAGGGGATAGAGATATACGAGGAGGTACTTCAAGGCCATCAAGCAATTCGTCAGGAATCCGAGTCTCTGGTTGATTGACTCTGACTGGTGGCTCAGGAGCAAGTCTCTGAGCACAGTAGCCAAATGCCTGGCTGAAATTAGAATCGAAAAGAAAAATAGATCAAAATGAAGAATTCGCTTTAGATTAAGGCATAATAAGAGAAATGGTCTAAAGCTGAAAATCACGAATACTATGGCAGAGAACACAGGACTAGGTACGTTCCACAAGGTCTTCATTGACGCTTCGACCAAGTCACGAAAGTGAGATCAAACCAACACTAGAATAGGAAAAAGCTTAGTACATATTCATCAGCAGACACCATAGTTATGATGCTGCAGAGCCCTGATGCAAAGGTGAACTAGAAAATGCAAAATACATGGTGAAATTAAGCCGTTCGGCAACTTCAACCCTAG